TCATTCTTTATTACGGCAGTAAAAGATGTATGTACAATCAACACTTTTGAAACATTGGTTAACATTTTATTTCGCGAAGTATACTGTTAACATTTCGCCTTTACAACACTATTATTTTGTGCAACTACAACTGATCTATCACTGTATAAGGTAATAAAGTTGTTCTCCCGCTGACTACTCGTATGTCGGTGTTTTCTTCTTCCCCCGCACGCCGCTCGTGATGTAATAACTGCCGATTTTGTTTTTGTTTGGTCGGAGAGAAAATGGAAACTATTTGTTGATACTTAGTTGCTTTAGGTTATCATTGCAGGTAATTTCATTACGGAAAGCAAATGTTTATAGTCTGGTTTAATGTCGTATATCCGATTAAAAAAAGAACATGATAGGTATTAGTTAACTAAATAAACTAACTTTAAATGAAGATGGTTTGCGGAGAATAAATAACAGAATATACGTTGAAGTTGGGGGACAAAATAGTGTGACATCTGATGCTTTAGGGTACCTTGTTCGAAGATTAGAGATAGCTATTAAGCGTAAGAAACTAGATAGTTGTAAGTTAAATGTCAATGAAAAATTGTTTATTTCATCGAATGTCAAAACAATTGTTTGCGAATTCATCGCAGCAAAGTAACGCAACAATTTTGGAATGTTGGTAACGCTTGAAATGAAGTTCGTATATTGACGTCATAGTTGAAATCTTTTTTCAGGGAGTGACAGCATCTCTTGGATGTGAAAACTGTACCTTCTTTATGATGTTTGATGTGTTACTGTAGGAAACTGTTAAATTCTTCGTGTTGAAAATTGCTTCGTAAAGTTCTTCTACGGATGTGTCTAATGTTAGTTTAGCGTCAGACTGATGGAGGATTTCCTCGATTATTGGGGTGAAGGCCTTTAACCAGATTAGTTCGTACTTTGAATTTCTTATAGCGATGCGTACGGAGGCGCTAGTAGCGCAAGAGGAGATGGGTTGTACTGCATTACAGTTGGAGCACTAGATGATGGTGGATGTTTCGGTTAGCGTGGCCTTTTCCGTCATTGAATGGTGACATTTATTACAGGAAAGCCAAGTTTAGAGTGCTTCAGCGAGAGTTACCCTGTCAACAAATATGACGTCAATGTCGAAGAGGCTTTGAAAGAGCTGGTCGCTGGGAGGATTAAAGTGTTCTTCTAGTGGAGTAAGAGTAGTCGACGGGGTAGTTGTGAGGTACTTGGCATTGTCGTATGTTTTTATGCGTATTTGGGTAACGGAGTAAGATTTGTGGTTGGATGCTTGTTGGATAAGATCACCCCACAGTGTCAGGCGGGTGGTACCCGTACTGTCAGTAATGGTGCAACAATTTAACATGGGAACAAGAAATCCGTCTTTCATGATGACTTCTCGCACAGAGTCTGCGTCCAGTGTAATTATCCCCCTGACAGAGGCTAAATGATTTTGGGGGAGGATTTGTATTTCTGTAATAGCCGTGAATGAGGTTTGCGGTTGCTGCGATGTGGTAGTGTCATATTCAAACGGAACGTCGCCTAAAACGGCTGGTTCGATGCGAGATCTTTTGCCCAGGATTAGATGTTGTTCTTCTGTATCGAAGATACTGGGCTTTTCTTTGATGTTAATGATATGAGCAGGTTTTTTCGATTCTTGGAAGTTCTCTACCAGCTTGTGTTTGCTATCGTCGTACATACAGCTCGTCGCTTTTGCGTCTCGTTAATTTGGAAGAGGAAGGTGAAGTAGTGAGTGGATCCATTTCTGCTTTGCAAAACAGCAGTTGTATCGTGTATGTAACCTTTCAGGCTGAGTTGGTTGCTCATGTTTGTGGGAGAAGTGGAGAATTAGTAATGTATTGTTACTGTAGGTGCGAGATGTGGGTTTTATAGAGAAGGGAAGAATCGATATTAGCCAATGAACAGGCACACATCTAAAGTAACGAATCAGCAAAGAGAGGTGATAACCAATTGGGTGGATGATCAACAAACTCGAGTTGATTTTGACATGCAGTTGCATGTGATAGGTCAAAGTGTAAAATAGAAAAGGGAATGCGATTGGTAGAATATTTAGTTAACACGTGGACAAGGGGTGGCACGAGTTTAGTGGTCGGCAGAAAATAAGTCTTGGAAAAAATTTAAGAGTTATTTGGAAGTACAATTAAAGGTGTGGAAAACCAAAGGTGTTAATGAAGGTATGGAATTTTTATAGGGAATAAGCGCGAATAGAAGCACCTAAGTTTTCGATGGATTTTTCTGGAGATGAAGTTTGAACTTTAGGAGAAGCGTACGTGAAAATATGCAAGTTGTTTACAAAAAGATGACACGCAATGGGGCAAAGGTTAAATTTGGGTGATAGACACATGTGAAAGTTCAAAGTGTAAAATAAGGATAGCGATTGCGATTAGAGGAACATTTTTTTCAACACGTGGATAAGTAGTGGCAGAAGTTTAATAGTGGCAGGAAATAAGTCTTGGAGAAAGTAAATTGAAACAAAATTAAAGTTTTTTAAGAAAATGAAGGTTATGAACGAGTATTTTAAAGGTGTTAACGTCAACATTGGAATTCTTTATTGTCGAGATGGACCTTGAACTCTACGAAAAGTGAACGTGAAGTAATGAAAGTTGTTTACAAGGAATTGACATGTGATGGGGCAAAGTCTAATGCGAGGAAGTAGAGTGAGCACGTGAAAAGTGTATGCGATAACGTGATTTGAAAGTAGAGTATCGATTAGTTGAAATCTAATATGGACTTTGAACTTTTGCAATGACAACGTGTGAGGAATGCAACTTGTTTACAAAGAAAGGGCACGTGATCGAGCGAAGTTCAAGGTGGCGAAAGGGAATTAGATTGGTGGAATGTTTTTTGATCACATGATGAAATTTTCCAGAGTGGATAAACCTTTATCATTGGTTGTGAATATTTTACAGTTGGTATAAAAGAGGTAAGTTAAGTTGTTAGCTAGTTATTAGTTCGGCAACGCGGCGTCCATAACAAATATGAATAACGAGGCTCAACTCAAGGGTTACGTTCATAACGTTTCAGCTGTTTCAACGGCGAAAAGAGGATCGTTACGGTACTTCAGGTTTCATTTTCAAGTGGAAGAAGGTGACAAGCGACGAGCTGTGTGTTATGATCTCAGCAAGCGTAAAGTTCTTAAGAGTTATGAAGAAGCGCGTGAACCTGTGAAGTTATCAAATGTCAGTGGGAAGCGATGTGGTGGTAGAATGGCAGAGGAGAATATAGTGCTAACGAGACGAAGTCGGATCGAACCCGCCAATAATTTTGACATTCACTTCGAGTACGAAGAAGGAAATGGTTCGGGAGATGACCAGCAGGGTTTCACTGCCATAGAAGCAATTGCGTCACTGTGTGAAAATCAAATGATTTCGGTGAAAGGGTGCGTAACTTTTGAAGGCGAATGTGTTAAGCAAGTAACTATGAAGGACAATTCCATCGTACCAATGTTAAATCGTTGCACGATTACAGACAATACTGGGATCATGCGGCTTACACTTTTGGGAGATGCAATTCAACAGGTGGTGAACAATAAGTGTTATATAATTGAACATGTGTTAATTAAGAAGTACGATGGGATGAAGTACGTGGCAACGAACCACAAAACAGTAATATCTGCTACTGAGGAGAAGTTCAATGCACCTACCGAGGAAGCGTTTGAAACGCTTTTCGACGTTGAAAAACTGATGGTGGATAAAATACATTTGGCGCAGAGCTTTAAGAAATGGCTATCTTGTTGTAAATGCCGAAAGAAGCTAATAGACACCAGTTGTTCCGGTATCAGTATTGTCAAGTGTGGCAACTGCAAGACAGTTCAGCCTCTTTCTGTCTGTTGCGTAAATGCTTCCGTGCGCATTGCAGTACGAAACAAATCTGAGTTAATCTGGCTCAAGGCTTTCACGCCAGTACTAGAGGAGATGTTACGCCATCCAGCACCCGATGTAACAGTTAACTCTCCCGAGGAAGAAATCTATCAGCAGTTTTTTGACCTCCAGAACGTTAGTGTTGAATATGGAAAGAGTTCTTTTACCATAACAAACATTTACTTTGAGTCATTGTAGGTCGAGATAATTGCATTGACTGGATGTTATTTGACTTGAAAAGGTCATTAGTGAAAGGTTATTGTTAATGAGAATTCAAATAAGGGTTCACTTGATATTGTTGAGTTGTACATATTGAGAAATGATTGTGTTCGTATGGATTTTTAAAAAAGTGGTTAAGTTGATGTTATTTTGGAAATGATAAGTTATTTGAGCTGTACTCAAATAGTGAACGCTGTAGTACTACGTGAAATGCGGTTATGAGTAAGGCTTCACAGAAGAACTGTTTCGTAGTATTGACGTTTGGTTTTTAAGTTTGTTTTGAGAAGAAAACAAAAAGTATTCATTGGCGTTTGATTTGACACTGGACATTTCAATTAATAATCGAATTGAAATGTTTGAATAGGGCGGTTTTTTTATTAATAGAACTACGTTGATGTCTGACACAAGTTTAGTTTTGTTACCCCATTTCATTTTTAAGTTTGGTTAATAAATGTGATTCAAAATTGTAACTGGTGAACATGATTATATTTACAATTTTTCAGTTATGGTTTAATTGTACGTTTTTCGACGTTGAAAAACTAATGGTGGATAAAATATATTTGGCGCACGGTTAAATCGAGGTAAAACAAGTTAACGAGAGAGGCTTCACCGAAGCATTTCATTTCTGTATTAATAATAAAAGTGATTTAAAAGGCTTCCAATAAACTTTGAAACGTTATTGTTACAAGTATCTGTGACAATCTGACACCCTTCAATTAGAGAGTGCGTGAGGAAAAAAAGG